TGCTCCCAACTGCCAAATGGTCCGAGCAGCTGATTATCAACCAGCAGAGGGCGCTGACTACACTGAATTGGATGAAGGTCCAGTTGTCTGTAGTCCACACACAGGAGGGCGACAACCATGCTACACATAGGGAGCTGGGGGTCATGCTATTAAAGGAGGCTTCAGTGTAAACAGAACCTAGCAAAATCAACAGGTATGTATGAAGCTTTTCTAAAATAAAAACACAAGCGCTATCTCCAACCCTGCTAACAAACCCCTTTGTGTGAATATCAAATTATAAGTGCTCTCAATTCACTCAATATAAAACAAAATACATATATTATAGATAGATAGATAGATAGATAGATAGATAGATAGATAGATAGATAGATAGATAGATAGATAGATAGATAGACAGACAGATAGATATTCCACTTAAATACAAATTTGCTCATATAGTGTCCATAGGTTATAACCAAAAAAATCTTGTGATGAACCGTGATAATTTCTCATTAAAACATATTTCACAAATACTTCATGCATGTGAAGAAAAATCCATAATCCAATGTGGTTCACTCCAACACAAAGTGCTTCCTAGTGATACATGTATTAAGCTTTTACTCACTCCATTACAAAAAATGAGCATTTGTACTCGTGAAAATGTAATACATTATATAATAATATATTAATACATATGTAATACATAGCGCCGCTGCCGACACCGATGCCAATTTTTAAATAGGTTCAGGCTGCTCGTTTAGTACAAGTGATCGGCCCAGATCTCCGCTCTGCTCTGTGATCAGTGACACAGGAGAGCTGTACTCACATCGCTTCCTGTATCAGCTGTCACATCCTGAGCTGTACAGAGCACAAAGCTGTGCTGTATCTTCTGTATTGGATGGCAGGCTCATAAAGAGAGCCTGTCACCTCCAAATGATATCACATAGGGCAGGGATGGTCAAACTGCGGCCCTCTAGCTGTGGTGGAACTACGCATCTCATGAGGCTTTGCAAGATTCTCACAGCCACAGACATGACTCCCAGAGAGATGCTTCATGGGATTTGTTGTTTCACCACAGCTGGAGGGCCGGAGTTTGGCCATCCCTGACAAAGGGGCTTATTAATCCCTGTGTAATATCAATAAAGTTAAGTGAAAAAAAAGTGATAAAAAAATTTAAGATAATAAAATAAAAAAAGTGATAAAAAGGTTAAAAGAAAATAAAAATTGACAATGACAATACCAGACACAACGAAATCTCAAGCAACATGGAGGTTAAATGAGACACTTTTACAGGATTCGATCACAAGACAGGCGATCGCAAATTTTGTGACCGATCATGAACATGATACCACAAGGCCCGCAGTAAAATGGGAAGCCTTGAAATGTGTCATCCGGGGGATTTTGATCTCACACAAAATCCCCCGGATGACACAGATTAACCAGATTAACCGGGACCAGATTAAAAAAAAAGAGAAATGAAGCCATCAAAACCTTATTAGAGGAAATATTCTAACTGGAGAGCAAACACAAAAGTAATGGGTCTACAGCAGTTTTCCGAGAACTACAACAAAAAAGGATAGAACTATATAAAAAACTAGACTTAGTCTATCAAAGATATAAAGATTGCTCTCAACGTACTATGTATAAATTCGGTAACAAGAGTAGCAGAGCTTTAGCGCGATCTATTAGAAGTATACAAGGGAGAATGTATATCCCTAAAATATGCGACTCAAATCAGACTATGGTTCATACCTCAGAGAAGATCGCAGAAACGTTCTTCAATTACTATAAGGACTTATATAACATAGGGAAGGGGAAAACTAAAATCGAAAGGAACGCAGATAAAGAACGGAAGACTCAATACATTAGTAAGACAGCACTACCTAGGCTGGGAAGAGACACTATAGAATCACTTGATAACCCCTTCACACTAGAAGAGATAAAGGAAGCGATTCAAGCAATGCCGATGGGGAAGAGCCCAGGCCCAGATGGGCTGACAGGGATATTCTATAGGTAATTTTCGGGGGAATTGGCCCCTATCATGCACACAACTTTCAATTCAATCAATGAGGAGTGTGGATTCCCCCAACAGAGCCAGGACGCGTACATAACTCTAATATACAAGGAAGGGAATGATCCTACACAGTGTGCAAGCTACAGGCCAATTTCCCTGATAAATGTAGATCTCAAGATATATGCTAAAATTCTTGCACTACGACTTCAACCTCATACTGGGTCGATAATAGACCCGGAGCAAGCAGGGTTTGTCCCAGGCAGGGAGGCCAGGGACAATACTATAAGAACAATATCCCTTATTCAATATACGTGCATGAGAGACTATCCCCTGTGTCTACTGTCAGTAGATGCCGAGAAGACCTTTGATAGGCTAGATTGGGATTTCATGAAGGCATCGCTTGACCAAATAGGGATACCACATCAACTATTTAAAAAAATTATGGCACTATATTCAGCTCCAAGGGCCCAAGTACGTGTGAATGGTATACTGTCATATCCAGGAAAAATAACTAATGGAACTCGGCAGGGCTGCCCACTCTCCCCCTTATTGTATATCATAGCCATGGAACATCTAGCTATGGCTATACGACAGAATGTAGATATAAGGGGAGTGACCATTAAGGAGAGAACACACAAATTGAGTATTTTCGCGGATGACTTGCTCCTATACATTACAAATCCCAGGATAGCATTCCTGCTGGTCCTGGGGGAGAGAGAACAATTTGGGCGAGTTAGCAACTATCGAATCAATGCTAGTAAATCTCAATGCCTGGATGTAACCCTCCCCCAGGGCGAGCGGGAAATGCTGGGGTCTAATTTTCCATTTGCCTGGGCTCCCGAAGCGATAGACTATCTAGGAATAAAGATATCTGCAGATGTAAGAAAACTATACGAGTTCAACTATATACCCCTCCTGGAGACAACACAAGCCCGAATAGAGGGATGGAAGAAGAGAAAACACTCCTGGACAGGAAGGATGACACTATTTAAGATGGACATCCTCCCAAGATTTCTTTATCTATTTCAGACGACTCCGGCAAAAATCCCCAGACTATATTTTCATAGATTACGATCTCTGTTGCTACAATATACCTGGGGTACTTCGGGAGCAAGACTGAGATATGATATCTTGGTTAAGGGAAGATTAGAATGAGGAGGGAGTCTGCCACATATGGAGTTATATCATAAAGCAGCGACCCTTAATAGAATGTTGGACTGGTTCGACCGTACGCGACCTAAGTTATGGGTGACCATAGAGCAAGCTGAGCTCTCACTACCACTGACATCATTGCCATGGATATGCCCAAACGACCACGGGGATGGAATCGATCAGTCGTAATAGGAACGATAATAAATATATGGGACGCATTGATTAAAAAGTGTGACATATCATCCTATGTGGGCCCATTGACACCCATACTCGGGAACCCAGATTTCCCACAGGGATTGGGGGGAGAAATGATTTTTGAGATAGAAGACCCCGAGCTATACCCCAATAGCACAGGCAGTCAATGCACTGGGTGTACTCCCTTTAATAGACCTATTACCACCAGGAATGGCGAGCCAAGGTAGATGGCTGGATTATTTCCAATTTAAACACTTTTATAACTTTTTGTGCTCCCAGGGATCAATAGAAAGGGTACTGACTCCAATTGAAAAAATGATCTTACATAAACCAGAGGGGAAGCATAAGGTGTCAAGAATCTATAATATACTTCTGGAATCAATATTCCCGTCCTTCCCTTACTATACCAAAGAATGGGAATGAGAAATAGGACAGAAATGGGGGGGGCCTGTCCGCCGGCTGAGATAGTATGGGGCCCGCCGGCCGCTGTGAGGAGGGAGCCGCAGAACAAGGAGGCACTGAAGACAGGCCTGCAGGCACATCATGGGGCCTCGGATGGCAGTGAGGACCCGCAAACAGAAAACACACAGGAAACAGATGAAGACAGAAGACCGGCTAGAAGAGGTGCGGGTAAATAATTCATTTAAATAATAATTATTTGTAGCCCAATGTTGTATAAAGTACTGTTGCAGAATGGCACCCTCTATAGAGGACTACAAATCTCAGCAGTACTTTATACAGAAATGCTATTGTTATATAAAGTATTGCTGGGATGTGTAGTCCTCTATATCATGTGCCATTCTGCATTGCTGTAAATATTAGGGCTGCACCGATAAATCGGCCACCAAAAGATATCGGGCGGAAATGGCACTTTTGGTTAAATGCCAAAAGTGCCATTTTTCTGCTGATACAGCAGCGCATCCCTGCTTTCTTTCCTCCCCGCTGGGCGCTGCTCTGTGTCCCAGCGGGGAGGAAAGTGACAGCCGGCTGAGCGCTGCAGGGGGGAGAGCGCTGTGTTTGTGGTCTTTTTTTTTGGGGGGGGGGGCCCAAAAAAAATCTTGCACCAGGGCCCTTTGTTCCTTAGCTCCGCCACTGTGTTGGTGCTTTATAAATCCTGTAATAATGAAAATGTCGATGGTCGGATGGTGTTTGCACAAAATTCCTATACCTGTCAGCGACATCTAGGGGCACTAGTGCCATGTGATCTGCGCTAAAGTGAACCCAACAATAACGCACAGACCCTTTATATAAGTCAAAAATATTGCATCTTTCCCCCAAGCAGCTCATTCAGCGAAATTACGAATTTCTATTCGGGCGAAATCAGTATTTGGGCAGCAAAATAAATTCTCCAGAAATCATACTGCTAATCATTATAACACGGAGATAACGGCGGTAATATGACGCTACAGGCCGGGAAAAGGTAGAACAAGATGCTGGAGTATGACAACCCTGTGTTCTTACATTCGCGTATGGATACAGGGCAGCTAACTAGACCCCTTTGACGGCCGCCGCCGGTGACGGCATTTTCAAGAGCCGTATCCACATCCCGTTGCCAGGGGGAGCTGAGCGTGTCGCGATGTGATGTCGTCACGGCTCTTGAATCGGCGCGGAAAGCTTGCGAGGGAAAGTGGATGTGAGTGAACTGAGCGGCATGTGAGCGGAGCAGTCGGAGGAGCCCGGGGCCCAGAACTGAAGGTTACTAGTTACTCTCAAACCCCTGTACCCAAGTTTTGTGCATCGAGTCTGCACCGAGACCCTCATTCCTGGGTGTACCGAGCCTCTCCTGTTTACCTCACTAACACGCCCCTCCCCCTTCTCTTTTTATTACATTCTGGTGCCTGTCTCCGCAGTGCTGTACAGTGAACACATACTAATGTATATGGCGCTCCTCTGTGTACCCATAGAGCTGTGCTGGTGTGGGCAGACAGATTTAGGTAATTGTGTCATTGTGAATCTTTTAGAGTCTTCTACATTGTGAATCTTTAGAGTCTTCTACATTGGAACTCACCAGAGCTCGTCACTCCGCCTATGTTTACTTGTGATCTGCAACTCGCAACATGGATGCAACGCTTTGCCAATCACTACTGTATTATTTTCATTTGGCCCAGTTCAGCGTCGTGTTGCGAGACATGCAACAAGTTGCAGTTTAGGGTGCATTCCCACCATCTGTGTTGGAGCTGTGCCATTGTTTCCAGCGCATCACCAACGCAAGACAGGGCAATTTGCCTTGTCACGGATGGTGTGCATTCACACCGGTGTGGTGCGGTATGAACGCAGTGATGTGTGCTGCAAAATAACATTGCAACCCTTAATTTTTTTCCTATGTAGAACGATGCGTTGCGGTACAACCGCCTGGCACCCCGCTGTGCCCGTAGAACTGAATGAAATGTCACTTGTGACTTTTCAGTAAAGTTCTAACAAAAAAAACTGCACAGTGCAATGCGTCAGGATCAGGGTGCCGGGGCACCACACACCAGACACTGTGCGATTAGTGTAGCATCTGGTGTGAATGAGCCCTTACAAATGTTTGAAGCCTCAGCAGCTCAGAGAGAAACTTACTGCCGGGTAAAGTCACCTCTGCTGATGACTATCCGAGGATCGGCCGGCTGCTGTTCATGCTACGGATCAGATTCTTGTTGATGATGGGTAATACACACAGAACTGTTTCCGGTGCTGTGGCAGAGAGCTCTGGCTCTAATACAGTGAAGCGATCCTGTTGTTTGCTCTCCCTTTCCAATCCATTGACAAAACACATTTTGAGGGGGCGGGGATTTACCAAAATTGGAGCAGTTTCCCATGGTAACCAAACAGCTTCCATCTTCAGCTTATTCAGTTAAGCTTTGGAAATGAAAGCTAGAAGCTGATTGGTTGCCATTCACAGCTGCTCCTGATTCAGTCTGTTCAGTGGTGGGGTCCTCGCAATATCTAGAGGAGCCACATAATCTCAATGGGACTGTTGGGGACCACCAACCTTCTGCAGAGCTGGATTAGTGGTCCCCCACACCCGGAAACTGCATTGGCAAGGGACTTGGATTTACACCTTGCAGGGGGATGGGACAGGGGTCATATTTTGAAGTGGGGCTTTATGTTTCTGTGTTTTTAAAGGGATGTTTTATATCTGTTTTGTTTTGCTATATGTATACAATTATTGTTTTACAAATAAACATTTAATACATAACAAGGTTCTTAGATCACTGTTATCATTATTTTTTTAAATAAATACTGTTCTGAGGGAAATAAAGAGGCTGACATTGTATGCCATCCTCTGTAAAAGCTATTGCATGGCTGGCATGCTGATCCCTCACCTTTCACCAAGCAATCATCCAGTGGGACTACATACGAAAACAACAATTACTTTACACATGTTGGGTATTGCCATGCAGGCCAGAGGGAAAGCAATAATTCTAGAGTCATTATTCATGGTTAAAGTGACACTAAACTCAGGAGTTAAAACTGCATTCAAGAACCTTAAAGTGGACATTTAACCCCCTCTCACTAAAAATGACATCACCATACAGCTCTGCATACTGACTTAAAATCGTCTTACATTCATTAGTTAAACATATTTTTAATTTACTTACAAATAGAGTTCATCTACATCCTATTCCACTTCTGGCACGAATGATGTAATGTGCCAAAGCATTGCATCCTGGGAAGGTTACATCAGCTGTGCATTGCTGGGAAATGTCATCTGTAATCTCAGGGAAAGGCATTTTCCTCTCCTGAGATGATGTGCATGGTCACATGTCCTAGTCACATGTACCAGAGTTCCAGGAAGTAAAGGGAGATATAGTAATACACCCTTAGTAAAAATGGCCACTGTCAGAAAACTGGGGAAGAAAAGAGAAAATAAGTTATGCAAAGAATACAAAGCCGGCAATTATCTAGAAGTATGTGTTTGTAGATTGTCATTAATAAACCTTTCTAAAGGTGTGTTTGTTGTTATTTTAAAGATAAGGGTAAGGCCTCATTCACACACAACGCAAGAGCAACATTGTATATACGCGTCCGTGCGTGCACTATTTGCATTACCAGAATGCATAATTCCTAATAGAAATTTTCATGAACTGTACGCACATACGCTCATAGACGCGTGTATACACGTGCAAACATGCGTATGCGCGTGAAATACGCTGCCCGGACACATCTCGGTTCCATTCTGTTTTTGCGCATTTTTACGCTATGCAAATATACGGCTCCATACGCGGCTATGTGTATGGGGCCATTTATTTGCATATGGTACAATAAGCACGTACGCGCTGTAGTGTGAATGAGGCCTAAAGGTCCGCTTTAACTATTAACAAAAATGTATCTTATTTGTGTATCACTCGGCTGTAGATCCTCAAATCATCTGAATTGGCGCTGACACTGTCCTTCCTTCTGGAGGGGGGCTACTTTTGTTTCCCATGGCCCTGTGTGTGTTGTAAAGTAGCCACCGCTCCAAGCTCACTCCTGTGATGGATTACAATCGCAATACACATTAGTAAACTAAATTTGGGATCGTAATCCATCACTGGAGCGAGCTTGGAGCAGTGACTACTTTACAACGCACAGGGACCATGGGGAACAAAAGTAGCCCCCCTCCAGAAGGAAGGACAGTGTCGGCACCAATTCAGAGATGATTTGAGGATCTACAGCCGAGTTATACACAAATAAGATACATTTTTGTCTATAGTTTTTAGGGTGCTTGAATGCATTTTTAACATTTAACTCTCAATTTATGACCTGTAAAAGCTTTTAAAGTGTTGATAATGGACCATTATGGGTACTGTAGCTTTTCGCCATTTCACTGGAAATGTATGGTATGTAATTACTCGACACAGTGTCATCTCTTACATTTTGCCAAAAATAGGTATTATAATGTGTTTATATGCACAAAAATTACATTTATTTACATCAATTTGTTACTGAAAATTTGGGTTGCCTTATTATGATGCAACATAAACAATTGCAACTTCACCATTTTATTCTACAGGGTCTTTACTTTTCATGATATTTATAATTCTGGGGAGTTTACAAAATCTACAAGCGTAAGAAGTGCATTTTAACATGTGCAAAAAATACAAAAACAGCTCTAGCAGCGAAAGGTTTAGAAAGTGGTCGTGCTACTATTCTACACAACACAGGACAAATATGAGTGGAGAGACGAAATAACTTTTTCCTTTGTGTTAGTAGACTGCATCACTACTTCCAACGATCTAGACTTTATATATACACAGAGGATAATCATTTTGATAGAATGCTTTTAGATCTTGTTTTTTGTTATAATATGAAGAAGAATTGTGCAGAGAGTCATATAGAAATAATGGGTTGGATTTGATTTGTTTAATTTTCTCATCACAGCATGGCTTCTTTACCTCAAAACAATCTTCAGAAGCAGTTAGAATTATTTTCTGCAAAGGTTGTTGGGAACAAGCTCTCTCTTCAAAAGTCTAAGCCCAGGTGAGTACAATGTGATCAGATGAGAGTGCCTGAATTTCTATTTGTGTTTTAGGTATAACTGAAATTGTATTTTTTTTTTTAAAGGATTTTAATATTGGAAAGAGAAATCATGGGCATGGTTTGTAATTAGAGCAGGCAGTTCTTGGCTAAAATTGACGAAATGTATGGTTGGCTTAATGGTTGGTGTGATTCCTATTAAAGCCCAGCTGAAATCTCACACTTTATTTTTTTAAAGCCCTTTTCCCCCACATGTTATAATTTGTGACTGCCCGCTCTCAGTGAAAATGCTTAATCTAGCTCGCACTGCAATGGTCTGTGCTGGCAGAGCTAAGTAATAGCCACACCTCTCCTCACAAGTGTCCTCAGAGGCAGAGAAGGAGAGGCAGGAAGATCTGTTACATTTCAGAGAGCACTTGGTGGAACTGGTGCTTATTAAAATAGGCAGTCATATTTAGACTAGGAAAAAAGTCTATCTAACTGCATATCTATTTTTGTGACTACATTTGGGATTTAAAGGTGTATACTAAAATCTAGATTTCAGCATGATTATGCGAGAGCAACATTACAGATTTTCATGAATAGTTAAAGCTGAACTCCAGGATAAGCACATTTTGTAAGAGAACACATGGCTCTAATGGCACCAAGAGTCTTGGTGTGATTTGTGGGTTTCTTTCTGGTCTTTATTACAGGAGCTTCCTTCTTTCTCTCCTTGCACAGGGTGACTGGTCTAGTCTCCAATCCCTCTTGTAGTTATCTGCAGACACTGTAGTGGGTGGGGCCGGCTGAGTCCCTCCCACATCTCTGTTCAAGCTATGTACAGCACAGTAAGGATCTCACTGCTACTTTTTATATGGTCATTTCTGGATTTGCAAAGGCATTTGGAGCACACAAGTGAATTTATATAGTCTGCAGCAATTAAGGAATAACTTTAAAAGAAAGTGTTTGTGCCTAAAGTTCAGCTTTGACTGTCTGTCAATCTGATATTATGTTATATTCTTTTTCCTTTACAGTGTGTTTACTTTTAAAAAGAAAAGTCCTTCGGATGGGTCAGCAGTAAAGAACTTCAGTCATACAAATCAGCAAGTACCACTAAAGGATAAAAATGTAAATGTTGCCCTAAAACAGTCCTCACTAAAGCACTTAATAGCACCTTCGAAAGCTAAAGAGACAAGTAAGCTCAATATATTGTTTACACCTGTTCCTGTAAAACCTCCAGAGCCTTCTCCACTACTACATCCTGCAAAACCTTGCCAGAAAAACTCAAATGGAAAAAATGAGACAAGTAAAGGCAATGGATTCTTTACACCTGTTTGTGCTAAACCACCAGAGCCTTCTCCACCACTGCATCCAACAAGAACTGTCCAGCAAAGTGCTAATGGGAAAAGTGAGACGATCAGGCAAGTGGACTCTCTTCCCAAGAAAACCGGCTGCAATACATCTATCAGCTCCACTCTCAGCCTGGAGGAATGGGATGATATTAATGATTTTGACACATCTGTATCTCCACCTAAGAGCCAAATTAAGAAATTATGTAAAACACCAGAGAAATGCAACAAGAGGCCCAGTGTGACATCTCCGAAATCTCAGACTCTTCAAGTGACATCTGTTAATAAAGAGACTGTGAAAAACTGTGTAGAAAAATGGCCTGATCTGGTTCCTATTTCCAGTTGTACAGAGACTGCAAATCCGTCTTTAGGTCAGTGCTTTTCAAAATTAACAAGACAATGGCGTCATTAATTAATAGCCCTGAACATGTTCTTTGGTGTTCCTGTACTTTTTGGTTAGTCTTGTACAGATGTATTTTTGCGAGCGTGACTTGTTTACTTGACTAGTACTGTCAGAAATTGCTTGTAATGTTTTTAGACTAGTGGTTCTGGACACTTTAAAGTGTAACTCCAGTCGATCGTTTTTTCCCTTTTTAATTTTGGTTAGAGTGAAAAGATTTCAACCTCTCTAAAGGTGGCCATACACTATGCGTATGTCGGATGGTTCTTGATGAACCGGATGAAATTCGCACAGTGGGTGCCACTGTCGGCATCCCTCGATTTAGCAGATTGGAGGAGTCAGTCGTAAAATCTTCAAATGTACAGAGCTGTCAGCCAATGAACTGCCCGCTCTGTTCAGGTATTCTAACAGTGGCCAGTTGAAGACAGTAGGAGATTCCTCCATCAACGCTCGTAAGTGCTGATGGAGGAATCTGTTCTATTTTTCCATTCAGCCCGTGGGTTGAACAAAAATAATAGAACCGTGTATGGTCGGCTTTAGTTTTGTATTAGATTTGCCCTCTTTCTTCTAGTTATCACTGAGGGTGGAAAGTGCCAGAAAACAATAAAAATTCTTCCAGAGGTTGTAATACAAAAAAAAAAAGTTTGCTTAGAATTTAAGGCCCCGTTCACATATAGCGACATACCTTTTGCAGCGGATCCGCACGGCCGGGATAGCACGACTTTCGGGGCGACGTTCCAGCGACGGTAGCGCGACCTTCCCCGTCGGGCTCCATAGAAAAAAAGCAAAATCGCGCAAAATCCGCCGAAAAAAGGGTCCGGTAGGAGCGACGCGCGACATGGAGTTAAGACAGCTCCATTGAATAACATTGGCCGGCGACTTCTCGCGATATCGCGCAGCAAAAATGCGCGATATCGCGGCGGAAAGCGCGCGACAATTCGCTATATGTGAACGGGGCCTAAAGGTAAAGGTCTGCATGATTACATTCCTGACATGTTGCAATATAGAATGATTGGTGCAGTCTGGTAGAATTGGTGAGAGGCAGCAGCGGAGGGCTGATGTGTGTGAAATGTGTACATATAGCCCAAAACAAAGGGTACTGTGCAGGCACCAGGATTTTCTTCTTTTTTTTTTTTTCTTAGTCCATTAGTCTTCTTAGTCCAGGAGCAGATTGTAACCCTGGATGATGCCTGAACAGAGATGGTCTGCTTAAATGCTTATAAGTGGTATACTTTAGAAATGACTTGGAGTGCACACGGGTAACAAAATAAGCAAAATTCTATTATGCTAGGAGGTCTATTAATAAACCATTTGCACAGCAAACATCTCTGCGAACGAGTCTCACAGTGCATTATGACTACTAGATGGAGCTGAGGAGTATAGGAAATGCTTCTTGGCTCCATCTAGTGGCCGTTATTCTCTGCAAATCCTGTTTATAGAGACATTCGCTTTGCAGATGTTTTATAAATAATTCCATAGGTCTTTTTTATGTGGTTATGTTCCAGAGCCATTTTTAGCTATTATCCTATTAAAGGAGAACTATGGGGTTAGGGCTTTTCCCCATAGTTCTCCTTAGGGTAACGGGAGGACACAAACTAGCGTCCTCCCGTCACCCTAAGCTCAGTATACCGCGAGCTGTAGCTGTATACTGAGATGCCGCATCTGAAGCGGATCTCAACAATTATGTCTGGATCCGTCCAGCTGCGTGAGTGACAGCTGGCTCTGCCTATCTAGAGGCAGAGCCAGCTGTACCCGCCCCCGTCCGTTCCGCCAGTCAATGCTGGAGGATCGGAGGGCGGAATCCTGTCACGGCAGAGAGCTGTGACAGGATCGAGAAGTGAGCGGACGCCGGTATGTGTTCCCTCACTTCCCGATCTACTGAGCTGACGTATGACAGTCTCATTGTTACAGGTCGGCTAGAACTATGAGGTGAGTGAAAAGCACTCACCTCATAGTTCTCCTTTTAATAAAGGAACACTTTAATACTTATAACACAGAAGCGATGCATATATTGTTGCATTTTCTACCTATTTAAAAGACAAATATAAGTAAAGGAAAAAAAAGATAAAAGTAACCTTTTCCAGGAGTAATTGTTAATTCTAAGACTAATCGTGTTAAGGCTTTATGCACACGGGCTTTTATTTGCGTCTAGGGATTCCTAGGGCAAGAACCTTCAGATTTTGTGGCAGGAATCCCAAGTGGGTCTGTACAGATGCAGCCCCTGTACCCAATGACAGGCTAACAGCGGCCCCATCTGTTCGTAGCTGTCTGCATGTAGTTGTACATAGAATGATTGATTACCTGCTGATTGTAAAAAAAATTCTTGTCCCTGGACGCAGACAAGGACAAGCATCCACAGGTAATCGTTCCATATATGATTGCGTATGGACAGATGCAGCCGCTGTCAGTCTGAGATTCTTGCTACAGGAATCCCTAGACACTGATAAAAGCCCTGTGTGCATGAGGCCTTCCAAAGTACTATTTTTTTTAACTTAAATGGCCTCCTTTGTTGTGAAATTAAAAAAGCTTGGTATAGTTATTTATAGGGATATACCGATACTAGTATTTGGGCGAGTACTCGTACTCGCCCATATGCTCTGATACCTTTCCCGATACTGGAACTTCCGGTCAGAAGATTTCCTCTGACCGGCAGTGCGGCGAGGGAACATGGAGCCGGGAAGCTGGCTTGATGCTGATTGGCCAGGAAGTCAGTGTGGAGCCGGGCAAACAAATCTGATAATATGGCGACACAACCCCCACCCTGCAGACAAATCATTCCCCTCACATAGATCCTTAGCAGCAGTCATTACCGTACCAGTCCTTCGGCCAGCTGGGCAGACACCGCTCTCCCGGATCTGCCCACGTCTCCTGTGTGCACAGCGCCCACGTGATTGGCCCTCAGCCTGCTACTGCGCATGCACAGAATTTCTGAATGAGAGCGCCGGGCAGTTTGCGCAGTAGCAGGCTGAGGGCTGATCACGTGGGCAGATCCTGAAGAGCAGTGTCTGCCCAGCTGGCCGAGGGACTGCTACGCTAATGACTGCTGCTAAGGATCTATGTGAGGGGAAGGAGGTGTCTGCAGGGTGGGGGTCGTGTCACCATATTGTCAGATCTGTTTGGCCAGCCTTGATGTCGATTGGCTGGGAAGCCGGCTTCCCGGCTAAACAGAATAGAGTCAGCTTCCTGGGCACTCAAGAAGCCGGGCGGTGGGTAATGACATGCTCCCTGATTGCCCGGGAAGCCGACTATGCTACCGGAAGTACCAGTATCGGTACTCGGTATCAGCGAGTACGAAAATATAAATATCGGTACTCCATACCGAAAAAACGGTATCGGTGCATCCATAGTTATTTACAAATGAAAGCCCCTTTTATGTTGCTCCAAAAAAAAGCACAAAACCTTTTCATACTAAGGGTATGAAATAACTTTTAATAACTTGCGGTTCTGGTGATGACCCAAAATGGTACATGTTCTTTGTCTCTCTGTAGGTGACAGTGGTAACCAGGACAAATAGAGGGTGAACCCTCCCAGAAAGGACACAAATACCAATGGAAATATAATAATAGGTTTTAATCCTTCCTTACTTCCAAAATGAAAACAATTGGCTTTAGATACACTTTAAAGTATGTGTAAACCCAATCACTGAGAACTCATTTAAACTTTACCATGTTAATGTCATTTCAAACGTTATTTTCACATTTGTAAATGTTCAGCTTTTAAGAAAATATTACTCATTGATCCTGCGATGAGGGTATTAGACTACATTCACACATTGGGGGAATTTATAAAAACTGGAGCAGACAGAATCTGGAGCAGTTGCCCATGGCAATCAATGAGCATCTTTCTTCAGTTTGCTCAGGTAAGATTTGAAAATGAGACAGAGAAGCTGATTGGTTGCCATGCATAGCTGCTCCAGATTTTGTCTTCTCTAGTTTTAATAAATTCACCTCCATTGTGTTGTGATGTCAGCACATTTTAACATACGCATGGTTTCTGCACATTTGCGGCTACTATAGCCAGGACACGGAAGTGACCCAGAATGTCGCACTTGTACTTTTTTGTGCAATGCACCTTTTTGTGCTACACAACTGTGGGGTTTTTGTGTTAGCACGTACAAATACGTGCGGAAAAACATGCAGGTGTGAACAGAGCCTCAGGCATTTCCTGTTATAGGGGCACAATGCTCCATTCCATTCTCCTAATTGTGCTCCTAAAGCTGGCCATACACTGCTTAGATTTTCCAAAGAACATTTGTTTGACTTTCTATTAGTTGATGGGGTCAAATTCACGATCGATTAGAGTGCAATGACCAAGAAAGATGAAGGAGCAAGATGGACATTTTTTCTTGAATGGAATTCTAACAGTGAATGTGGTTGTCGTTAAGGAAACGCCATTCATTCCAAAATCTAACGCTAAAATCAAACAAAATTTCAATTGGCATTTGACAAGTGTCTGATGACAGTATTTGGTGGTAAAGAAATTTCCTAGAAACAGAGTTACCAGGTACGTAACTCCAATTTTTTTGTACCAACGTTCATTTGGAGATCTACTGATTTATGGCAAGCTTAAGTTGTCACCCTGTCGCATGGGTTTCCCAATGGAAACTGCAGGTTGCCATTTTAACACACATTACACAGTCATGTTCCGCTGTTGTTGCCATTAGGAAACTGACCCTGAGAAATGTCTTTCAGCCATTGCTGGAGCGACTACATGTAGACAGGAAATGGCTGCAAAAAAGCTGTTGGTTTAAGCACAGCGGTTGGTATCTGTAGCCTGCAGGCACACCACTGATTCATATGCAATTCTCAAACACTGTTTAAGTCCAGGAACCAGAAAATAGATTCTAAAATAGGTTAAACAACTTTAAGGAATACATCTGTACTGCCTCCATGTCCAGGTTAGATGCATGTGAGATGTTCTGTACTGGGTTCAGATCTGCTCATTTATTCTTTATGGTATTTTCAGATAAAAGCTCAAATGATACCGATGTGGTGGTCTGTGACGAAGTGAGTGAGCCGGAAGAAATAAATGTAGATGATGAGTGTGATATTGATTTTATTCCCCCGTCCCCTGCAGATAGTAGCCTATCTTCTCCTCCAGTGCTCAGAGGAATCTGGTAAGTAAGACATATACATTTTGGATGCAGTTATAGTCCTATCTGGACAGAAACTGATAGTGATTTAGCTAGTTTTAACCTTGCGTTGGTCCCATGAATAATCCTGTGGACACTGGTCAGCGTTGTTTCTGTTCTGTTTTTACAATTATGCTCAATTTGTATTTTTTTTTAGTTCATTTAGGAAACAGACCGAGTCTACTGAGACCGACAAGGAGAAATCTGCAGAACATCAGCCAGATCAGCACACATTCTCTTCACAAGGCAGGGAAATACATAGTCTTTATTAAATACTTTTTCACAATGCATGTGTAGAGATACTAAATCGTGACTTGTTTGGGGCTCTACAGCTCAGAGTACCATGTCCCCTCAGCTCTGGTCTGTGATGATGGAGATCTGTGATCTAGTGGACAGGATTCCTGTGTCTGAGCTGCATCGGCTATCATGCGGGAAGGATCTTGAGAAGAAGAGGGACATAAGGTAATCTGCAACTGAAGGCACATAATGACCACAGTGTGCAGACCCAGGAACCTTAACAGTAGAGTTCATGAGATGAGAAATATATGAAACTGTTGGGTGGTGTAACTCTCGACCAATCATACATTTTTTGTGCAGATTGACCTTTAAAGACTGCTGTGTTTTTGATGTTTCATATTGGTACCACATTTTGTTTGTTCCAATTCAAACTGTATATTTTATTTGGCAGGAAGCATCTTTTGTCAAATTTCTCAGGGCACAAGACTTCTGCTATGGAAAGCCCTGCATTGTCATCTTATCCTAGAATGTCTTTTGCTATGGAAGATCCTGAATTGTCACCATATCCTACAATGTCTTCTACTAAAACAAAAAATTACATACAAAACTCTGTAAATATGCCTGCTGCAGACTCTACCTCTCATCGACTGTTAGGGAATGTGTTTAAATTCAAGTCATTCGGTGCCTCTGATAAGAAGATCCAAGACAGTTCTCTGGATGGTAGCACCAAATTTGGGAGCCAGACAGAATTAAAAGCATCATTTTCCTGTGCATCAGTTGATACACCAATAAAGGACTCATCCAGTCTCCAGGATTCTGTGTTCTTTGAGAGCAAATTTAACACACCACACAACCAGAAACCAGTCACCACTAGTACTTGTGCTAGACCATCTGCTCCTTCTCCAGAGGACTTGGGCAATGAGGACCTGGACTTTGATATAGACAATTTTGACATTGACGACTTTGATGATGATATTCAGTGCATTGATAGCCCAGTAGCACCATCTGCTGGCAAAGCTGTTCCATCAGCATATCCTGCAATACGGGAAGCACCACCAGTTACCAAGAGTAACTTCAGCGCAGTCTCTGTAAAAACTCCTAACACCAGTCAAAACTCTGGCCTATCAGGTGGGTATTTCAAATTGTTAAATAGCAATAAAGAATATTGTGCTTCTTACACAGCAACAAAAAAAAACCCTTTGAGGGCCCATTCACACCAAACCGGATCATCTCCAGACCAGACCAGATTGTTTCCGGACCCAAAATGCATCCTAATGTATCCCTATGCTATTTCTGGCCTCTGTTCACACCTGGGCAGTCCGTTCCCGACCAGAAAAATACTGCATGTCTCATTTTGTCTGGTCTGGAATGCACTGGAACTGCGGGCAGGTTCACACCATTTTCCGGACTAGATCTGGTCCAGAAAATGGTGTAAACCTGCCCTGAAAATACATACCGCACAACCAGTAAAAAGTTTCCATTCCATCCCCATCCTACTTGATTAAACGCATATGTGGAAAATGCATGAGCTGGTAATGAAACTTTGAATAGCAATGTTTGAGCAGCAAGGGACCCCCTGCAGTTGAATATTATGCAATTGTGGACAGACCATTGCAGCCAGCACATAGAATAGAGTACACGTCCCCTCTGCCTGGATGTCTAGTAGTGGTTTAAATGTTTCATTACATTTTTAATAGCTTTTTTTTTTTTTTACAAACTTCACACTGGGCATACATAAACAAAATGTTCTGTGAAAGTAAGAACAGTAAAATATTTCCTCTGTTTGTATACAGTCTGCCTCATCTCATTATTCCTTTTTTTTTTTTTATTGTCATCTTCTGTATTTTGAGGTTTTTTTAACCCTCCCTAAAACTAAAAAGAATGTTTTTTTGCTTCATATGATTTAAAGTGACATTAAAGGATACATTTTTCTCCCCCTCCCCCCATGTTAATGTCAGCACTTACCAAATGATGTCTCTTAATCCGATCTTCTTCTTCTTTCCCCATGTTTTCATCTGTCCCTCCAGCGGTGCGGCGGCTCTCCGATCCAGCGCTGACACCTCTCTGCTTTCAGGCACTTCCGATCCAGCGGTGTCTGCAGGCGGGTGCACGCGTCCATAGACTTACCTTGCGTCTCTGCTGGTCTCCCGGCCGAGAATCCGAACTGAGCATGCGCCTGCCCCAAGATCCTTTGCGGCCGCACGAACAGTTCCGGACTCTCGCCGCGGGAGCGCGCAGCGATAATGAGGTCAGTCTAAACCGCTGTTTAAGCGTTTAAAAAAAAAAAACTTTTTGCCTATATCTACTGCTTGTCAGCAAAAAACCGGGAGGCTTTAGAACCCCTTTAAGGTCAAAGTGTAAGTCTGGGCAATTTGTTTTCTAGTTTTGGGTAGATTAGGACTAGAAGGTTTTTATTGGTGCCTTTTTTTTCTTTGGGAGATTCGATCTCACATTTTGCCCCAGTGACCATTGTCTAAAATTCTTCCCCAGTGGAGCAGTTTATTTCTTTCTCTTTCTCCCTCTTCCATGACATCTGTGTAAATACATGAGTCGTAGTGCTTATTTTATTACAAAGATTTTAAGAACTGTATATTTTGATCCTTGGGTTATCCCTTTTGATTTTATTCCACTGTCTTTTGTAGATTCACTGTTAAAGCCACCAATAGACAACTCCGCTCATGAAAAATTTCGGGGCTTCAACTTTCCTCACTCTAAAGAGATGATGAAGATTTTCCACAAAAAGTTTGGGCTGCATCGTTTCCGTACCAACCAGCTAGAAGCCATCAATGCCACCCTGTGTGAGGAGGATTGCTTCATTCTCATGCCAACAGGTAAGGTATTTCCTGTTTTTACACTTTTGGGAGTGGGATACTCAAAGCTTTACTGTTTATCAGGCTAAAACATCACCACATATAGATTCCACTTCTCTCACACACCGCACCTTATAACATTTTAGTCAGATAACGAATCTATACTTGTCTGCGAGTAGCCACATAAAATATGTTGGGTGAATTACCTTAGATTTATTAATATTTTTAGTTTAGGTTGTCTTTGGTGGGTTGGGATGAGTCACCATTTGCCGCCTTATATCTAGTGGAGACTCCAGTTGTAAAGGCAAGCATCTGTAGACGTAACCGATACATAGGAAATTATGGTAACAGTTTGGAGACATCCAGTTCAGCCTAACAAACATAATGTATCCTCTCTAGGTGGTGGAAAGAGTTTGTGTTACCAGCTTCCAGCCTGTCTCTCCCCTGGAGTTACTATTGTGATCTCTCCTCTTCGTTCCTTGATAGTGGATCAAGTGCAGAAGCTGACATCTCTGGATGTAAGATTATTTTTCTGTGTGTTTTTTATCTTTTTTTTTCTCATGAAGTATTGTCACATGCTTGGTATTGTGTAGATTTCCAGTTTTACTTTACCTTTTTTCTTAGATTCCTGCCACTTATCTTACTGGTGATAAGACAGACGCAGAAGCCTCCAGCATTTACCTGCAGCTTTCCAAAAAAGATCCAATTATAAAACTTCTCTATGTTACTCCAGAAAAGGTAGGTTTTCGCATACAATAAAGTAAAAGCCAACGTGACCACAGAAAAATGCAAACACATTCTCATTCTTGGGGAATAAAAAAAAAAAAAAAAGTTTGTAGCCAGAATCCAAACAAATAATGATAACTTTACAGTTATGCTTGTAAAAGTTCTATGTTTGTCCTGCTATTTTTTAAAATTGTTTATTGATTTTAAGCCAGATGTACAAAATTCACAAATGTATACATATCCATAGTGGTGCACCGATACCAAGTACCGTACTCAGTACATGAACAGATACTTTTCCCGCTCCAAGACAAGACTAGAGAAAAATTCAAAAGTTAGGAGGCAGCTGTCATTTGTAAGGAGCACACGGAGCTCCTGGGATTTGTACATCTCTGTTTTTAATGTATGATTTTGTTTTTATAAACGGATGCACCAATACCATTTTTGTAAATACAAATACTGATACTTGTCCAAGTACTCACAGATACAAATACTGATACATTTTTGTTTATTGTCATGTGACAGTTTTTCTAAAACAATACAGACTAATGATTTCAGGACAGTGGTTGAGCGCCAGAGCCAGGTCCCCGCTGCAACCCTGGTAGTTCTCATGAAGATGCCAAGTATCGGCACTGGTATTTGAACTGGTATCTGTGCATCCCTACATATCCAGTATGTGTGTGTATATATAAAAAACAAATAATGCAACAGTGAACGATAACTTAAAATAATTGAACAGACTTTGACAGTCTTCAGTAAGTCATTATAGCATAACCAACAATTGGTCAGATACATCTTTTTAATGCAAGTGTTTTATCCTGAATTCATTTGCCCTGTTATTTAGTTTCAATAAATTTAACTGAGCCTGATTATTTTCGGTGAGAGTGATGAGTTAAGGTGACACTAAACTTAAAAATGCACTCAAGTACCTAACTATTAACCTCTCCAAACTCACTCCCATGATGAACTACAATCTCAATACAAACTAGTAAACTAAACATGAGATTGTAGTCCAGTGGAGTGAGCTTGAAATGGTGACTACTTTATATCACACACAGGGACCATGGGGAACAAAAGTAGCCACCCTCCAGAAGAAAGGACAGTGTTAGCACCAATTCAGAGATGATTTGAGGATCTACAGCCGAGTGATACACAAATAAGATACATTTTTGTTAATAGTTAAGGCACCTGAATGCATTTTTAGGATTTAACTCCTAAGTTCAGTGTCACTTTAAGGCGGAAGTAAACCGCTTTTGATAAATTTTTTTTTGCTGTAACGTGTAAGTATGCACAGATGCATAGCATACTTGCACATAACGACACAATTGTCTTTAAAAGTGTGCCCTTCTTTAGCGCTGTTGGATGGATCCTCGGCCCTCGGCGAAGTCTCTCCCGCCGTTGCCATCTCTGCCACTGAGACTTCCGGGTTCTTGGAAGTTCTCCTCGGTCATTAAGGGGGCAATGGGCACAGGTGTTGCATCCTCTACAACACCTGACGGATTCATGGCATCTTAGAGCTGATCATGTATGCTGTATGGTTAGAGAGGGAGGATTTTTTTTTTTGGCTGAAGAGATTGCATATCTATTCTGCCAAAAATCCTTAAATCCCAGCAGTTTTTTTTTTTGGTTTGTTTTTTTTACTTCTGCTGTAAGCTGGCGATGCACTATACAATATAAATATACAATCTTCTTTGATTTTCCAAAACTATGTAATATTAGGACAAACCTAAACAATCCATTCAATGAATATGGAATCAGGCAAGCTCTTGCATTAAATAGTTGATGGTAGATCTAAAGGAGATTGTACAATCCATTTGTATAGCGTATGGCCAGTCATAGAGGTCTGGACTTTTGGTAATAACACAATGTTATCAGCATAAGGTTAAGCAATTGAAAGGCCAATATTTATCATACCTGAGGGACCTTTCAACACCTGGGTGTGCCAAAAGTCTGACACAGCCAAAGCATATGGCTTGTCCCATGGGTTCTTGGTTTTACAATAAAGGGATGCTTTTCAAAAATGTATTTAAGCTGTTTAACTGGTTCCCTTAGAGGTCCCCATACATTTTTCTGCAGTACTGCAATTCGGCATCAGAAATCTTTTATTTTTCAAAATGAATACTAGCAAATTCTATTAGATTAGGGAGCAGATGGTAGTCCAAGGGGGCCAGATCAGGTGAGTAGCGATGCTTTTGTAGCAGTTCAAGTCAATGTTCATGAATGACAGCCCAGGGCAACTGCCGATGAGTGGCTTGAACTTGTATTAATACTTTGTGTACACTCTGTCGGTTTTCACAGACAGCCTAGCATACTATGCTCTGGTAATAGTTTGTCCCCTTGCGCGTTTTTGATCTTTACTGCCTGTGAAATGTGTAATGAGGCTGTGACCTTACTTATAGGGGTTTCTTGTTCTTGTGCAGAAGGTTCCCTGCATGAGATGTCAAGTCAGTTTTGTTGTAGCTTGGCTTCACTCATGGTTTTCTATAATTGGCTATAGTTATTGGCTAATAATTCTGAGGAATGTAGACTTAATTTGTGGTAAGCCATTACTAACCCTCACAAATGGTTTGGAAACCTGTTTTCAGCTTTCGATTATCATTGGAATGAGAGAATTGCAGTATCCTTGTCCCTTACTCCCCACTTCATTTGTACAATGTGGTCTTCATCATACACACTAGGAAGTAAACATTTGTTTAGGTCAGCTGTTTAAGTTTTACCCTTGTTATGTACAAGTTTAGATAATGTGATATTTTTAATTGTCTTACAGGTCTGTGCAAGTAATAGGCTTATCACCGCTATGGAAAACCTTTATGAGCGCAAATTGTTGGCACGGTTTGTCATTGATGAGGCTCACTGTGTCAGTCAGGTAATTTATCTATTCCTGTGTTGTTGACATCAGAACTTTACTTTTTTTATAGGTTTCTATATTGATAGTCCTTTTTTTTTTCCTGTCTTTCAGTGGGGTCATGATTTCCGCCCTGACTACAAGCGACTAAACATGTTGCGTCAGAAGTACCCTTCTGCACTAATGATGGCGCTCACAGCAACTGCGAATCCCCGTGTCCAGAAGGACATTCTAAATCAACTGAAAATGACAAAACCCCAGATGTAAGTCTGCTACAAGTGAACAAAGAATTCTAATTAGTAGAATCCGATGGTAAATAATATAGTTAAATAGACTAGAGGACAGGCAGACAGCGCCATGTTAAAAACCAAAAAAATAAATTTAGAAATTCTGATTTTGTGTTGTTTTATAGCGTACATTTTTCTGTCCTTGTACACTATTTTTATATATGGATCTGCTGAAGCTGATAACTGTAATAACTGAGGTTATTTTATTACAGATTTTCAATGAGTTTTAACAGGGACAACCTGAAGTACGAAGTGTTGCCGAAAAAACCCAAAAAGGTGGCCCAGGACTGTGTGGAGTGGATTAAGAAGCATCACCCAAGTGAGTGTGAGATGTTACATTTCAAAGGCTATAACTAAATTAACATTTGCAGTAATAATTAGGGGAATTGTTAGAAAAAAATGCAGAAAACATTTTTCATATAACAGTATTTTAAAAGTATTGTTAGATTCGCTGTAATGGCTCTGTCTGTCTGGTGTCACACAAGTTCAATGTCTATTTGAATGTCTTAAAACTGAACTCCAGCTATAATGTGTGTATATATACACAAGGTCCGGCTTGGCACAGTGGGAGTATACACATATTATCACTGATAGGGCCATGGGGACCCTGTAAGCTACTATAGTGCTTTTTATGGTGCTGGAACAGCCACTGAGTGACCTCTGCTACGCACTGCAGGTCACGCGCTCGGAACAGTAGCCAATCAGCAAATGCTTAGTATTTTTATGAATTTTTACTTAAGCTGGCGATGCACTGTAATATTTACTTTGTTCAACCTGGGGGCTGAACGAAAAACATATTACAGATTCCTCCATCAATGTTTAAAAGTGTTGATCGAGGAATCCCCCGCTGTCTTCATTGTATTCTGACAGCAGCCACCGGCTGTCAGCATACCCCAACAAAGCCAGCAGCTCCCTGCTCTGTTTCGTTGAATGATTTTCCAACTGGCTCCTTCGATCAGCTGATCGAGGGATGCCAGCCGAAAGGGTGCCGACAGCTGGTTCTTGATAAAAATTTGCACCGTGTATCGCCACCTTAAGTGTTCTCCAATTAGAGAATGCCTGCTATTCACTGCGAAAATACTTGATATACTAACTCTGCCCCAAGCTGTCCAATGTAAGTATATATATATTTTTATAGCTGGAGTTTAGCTTTAACCCTTTCGCTGCCAAGGACGTATGGCATACGGACCTACAAAAGTGCTTCCAGCTGGCCAGGTCAGTATGCCATACGGACCTGGCATTTACAGTTCTACTATAAGCTGACTATCCCCTTTAAATGAATAGCTGTCATCAGCGGCTCACAAGCCGCTGATGACTGCTATTTTCAAAAATA